TTTTCCTTATCAAGGCAAACTTAGATAGTCCTGATGCATTTATTACTACTGGATGATTAAAAAAACCAATTCTAATGAGAAGAGTGGATCAAATATGGTGTAGGGCAGTTGTCCAACTTTTTTTCCTTATGGGCCAAATTAGAAATTTAGGTATATTCAGCAGACCACAAAAAAGGTACCTTATATAAATATGAGCTTTTTAAAAGTTCAAAATATATATTTGTTATTAAAATCTGATATTCATATAATTACAAAAAATACTGTATTATTAACAGTAAAAAAAGTATACTCACAAAATAAATTCAATGAGATTTTTGACATTGCCTTCCTTCTATAATATTGTCAATATCTGCTTTTATGGTAGCAGTCTTAATTCTAAGAATGTTAGTATAATGGGAATCACAACCTAGTTTTGATGTTTTTCATGCACGTACAGAATTGTTTACAACAGTATGTACTACCCCATGCATAATAGTTTCCTACATAAAACAATTTTCTGGCACCAATTACATCATTACTACAAAGTGTATCCAGTGAGAGAATAATTTTAATGACAACATTTTCATTTATTTTGGTAAAGTATATCTAATTTAGGGTGCAGTGGACCATACAAAAATATTAAGTGGACCACAGTGCACCTGCAGATTGGACATCCTTGATGTAGGGTAATGTCATCAACAGAAAAGACTGGTTTAGTTGCAGGAAGTATTGGACATGTAGTTATTTGCTTATTGACAGCATTTTAGCTGTGAAAAATGGTGATGTTCTTATAATTATGAGCAAGAGTGTATTAGACCTAATACACTGCTCATAAATCTGGTAAATTATGAATTAGGTCTTCACCACTTAGAGGCAAGATTCCTGAAAATGGGTCTAAACTCAACTTAAGTTTATGATCCTTTTCCTTATCAAGGCAGTATATAAAAATGTATCTCCAAATATAAAGCCTCTCTCATATTTTAAATGCAAGTCAATATATTTTGCAATCAAGTCAGTATTATCAATGAAAACAGTTGTTCATATGTAAAAACAATTGGAATATGTTGCTTATAAGATTTTTAAATTCTTCATATAAAACAAATTAAAAATCAAACCAGTGAAGAATTGTTCTGTAAAGCATACCAATTCATGAAGTCAACAATTTAAAAGCAAGCAAAATAAGCAACATAATGTTCATAAAATAAATTTTGAATAGTCTAGGCAATTTCAAAATTTGTGCCTCCCAATTTTATTTTTGTTTACTAAAATTTGTATTTCCATGACAATTCTGCTAGTTATTTTAAAAATTAATTTCAAATTATTTAGTTTGAAACACTATGCAAGAGAATACAAATTAAGTGGACTGATTCTGTGCAATGCTTGTTTTTTAATAAAATAAAGTTATCGTTTTTCGTTTATTTCATTTGATATGAAAAAAAACCTTTTTACAATATGTATGAATAATTTTTGTATAGGCCTACATTAATATCAAACATTTTATAGTATAACAAAAATTATCTGAAGTGAAACTTTCCAATTAAGATTTAGTTTTGATTTAATTTTCAAATTTTTAATGGAAAATCCACATTTAATTCAACATGTACAAGTAATTTCAAAGTTTTAATATAACTATAATTTAAGAAGGAAGTCTTTGAAAAGAATTATAAATAATTGTATTAATGCATTATTAATATTTTAGTACAATGTTAATCATCTCTTTTATTTGATCAATTGGTAAATGTTACACCTGAAGAATGAATGGCCCAACATTTACCACAAGGCCAGACACTACATGGCAGAAGGACATGAAACAACAAATAGCGTAGAACACAGAACTCTGAAGAGAAATTGGCAAGTGATGGCTATTACGAGTCTGCACTTACACGACAAAACCGGGTGCTTTTATCGAAAACATAGTCTTCGATCGGAACCGATTCCTCTGTTGTGTGGTCGTCTAACTTTTCAATGAGAATTGGGGTGGAAGAAGAACTTCCTTAATTGGGCTACAATTTAAACAATTGGTATAAACTGGAATCTTTAATTAAAAATCAAAGTGGAATGAATATATAGTGACAACATATGTTGAATAATACATAGTGGAGACTTATTTTACAATTATGATGTCAAAAACATGCTAGAGAAATTTCAAACTACATATAAAACTGTCTAAACTCCTGTACAGCATTCCCATTAAAACTTTAAACTAATGAGCTGTGGAGCAGAGGATTAACTAATAACAAAAGTGTTTAATAATATAATATTTATGCAATTCTAGAGCTTAGGTCAATCTAAACAATAATGATCAATGATCCCTCAACTAATCACAATGGCTTAATATATGACAGCCTGTTATATCCCTTCATTTATTTAGTAGAACAAATAAATGGTCACAGATAAACATTACATCTATTGAAACAGGTGAAGTATGTCTTGATTATCTAACTTTTTACAACTCTTAATTCATAGTTACAACTGTGGGACATGATGCAGAAATGCCATTGTCTCAACTCTTCAAATGGATGAAAAATACTCTCCTCCTGAGTAGACCACAAAAGAATTTTTCTCTGGAAATTCTTGTTAGAACAAAAAAATGGGTTAATTTTCTTTATGGAATAAACAACAAACAAATAGTTTATGATTCAAATTTGTAATGAACAAATTAACAAGAAAATTTGATGTTTCAGATCCAGCCAACATTATAATTTCATTAAACACAGTGAATTTTCTTCATATACAACTATTCCAAAACATAATGCTTCCAGTCATAATTAGAGTAACTTCTTCAAAAATTTGCCACTGTTCCTCCCCATTCTTTACCCAGCGACATCCTGTACCCGCAGGCAGTCTTTACTATTCTATATTCTAAAAGGGGAGAAAACTGATGCCTACATGCCATAACCTTGATAGCCAGGCATGGGTTGTCCATACGGCTGATAACCTGGACCCATCATACCTGGTCCTGCTGTCAACATTAACTGAGGTTCAGGTGCTAAAGAAGGAAAAACAAATATATATAAATTGAAAAAAACAAATTAAAAACAAACTCCTATTCTTTACCATAAACAAGGGGCTTTTGTTCATTCTGTGCAGATTCTTCTAACCGCTGGTTCTCAAGTTCTTCTAATTTATCCACCTAGAAATAAAATAAGTCTTAAACTTTTAAAAATTTGATTTTATTAAATTTCTAAAACTTACTAGAGAAATTTATTTTTAAATCTAAATTAAATATATATTTTAATACTAAATCTTCAGTATAAATTTCTAGAAGATTCAGTATTCAGTAGCATATATTTTCCTGAACACAGGAAACAAGTTCTCCATTTATCTTTCACAAGAATATCTGCATCTTTGCAGTTAATAATTGATATTTTTACATTTTGTCAAATTTTTCCTTCCTTTCTCTTTCCATTAGAAGATATCCATTATAAAGCAGTCTTAATATACTTATAATTTGGCAAATGTACAACTACATTTCAAAATAATGGAATGTTGGTATAATAAATTGAAAAAAGGATTTATGTTAATTATTACATTGTTTCACATTTAAGTATCACATTCTATCGTGTTTCATCTATTTTCCCCAAAAATCAACTCATTATTATGTATTAGTTCTTTTATAATTAAATTTTTCTTACCAGCTTTTAAAAGTAAAATATTATTGGGTTGTTTGGAAAGTTTGTAGCGATTTTTGATAGTCAACAGTTGAGACAATGACATGAAAATGATTAGAATTGTACAAACCAATGAATATTACGATAAATTACCTTGAGACACGTCTGTTACAAAACTGTTAAGATTATTCAAATATCATTTGTCTCATTGCAAAAATGGATGCAAACAACGTGCATTATCGACACTTGTTTTTTTTATCATAAAGGAAAAAATGCTGCACAAACAGTAAAAAAGATATGTGAAGTTTATGGTGGGAGTGCTGTAGGAGAATCAACTGTTCAAAAGTGGTTTGCAAAATTTAAAGCAGATAATTTCAACCCTGAAGATGCTTCCCACTCAGGAAAACCCGTTATTGAAGAGGACCAGATCAAAGCATTATTGGATGAAAACCCTCATTACACAACAACTCGGAAAATTGAAGACAGTGAAGTCAAACAGTACCATATTTCAACATCTAAAGAAGCTCGGATATGTGAATTGTTACGACACTTGGATAACTCAACGGAAAAGAACTTACTGGATCACATCTCCATTTGTGATTCTCTTAAAAGACAAAATGAAAATGACCCTTTTCTGAAGCATTTAGTGACAGGTGATGAAAAGTTGATTGTTTATAACATCAGCTGAAAATGATCATGGGGTAAGAAAAATGAACCATCATTAAAAACTCCAAAGGTCAGTCATCCGAAGAAGGTCATGCTCACAGTCTGGTGGGATTGGAAAGGAATCCTGTATTACGAGCTGCTTCCACAGAATCAAACAATTGATTCTGATAAGTATTGTTCCCAATTGGATAAACTGAACATGGCAATTAAAGAAAAATGCCCAGAACTGGCCAATTGAAAAGGCATTGTGTTTCACCAAGGCAAGGCCAGACCACACGTCTTTACAAACACACCAAAAATGATTGGAACTAGGCTGGGATGTTTTACTTCATCCCCCATACTCACATGACCTTGCCCCATTGGATTACCATTTGTTCCGTTCTCTGCAAAATTCCCTTCATGATAAAAACTGGAAAGTTCTACGAAGAGGGTATCATGAAGATCCCCCATAGATGGCAACACGTCATTAAAAACAATGGCACATATGTAATGGAATAAAGTATATTTTTAGTTTTAAAACAGTTTCTTTTATTTCTCTTAAAAATCGCTATGAACTTTCCAAACAAGCCAACAGTAACATAAGTAACTTTAAAAGAAGTAAAACGGCAAAACCATGTTTGGGACAAGACTGTCTCGGAGACTCACTACTAAGCGGAATCACTGACGCTCAAGGTGGATCTCTTTCTCCAATCTTCTTTGGTATCGCTGCTTTGGGTGCGATCGTTCAAACAACGCCGGCCACGAACATGAGGTCATCCATGATGCATTTCCAATTTTGAAATTTCTCTCCATTGCATGTCAGCCCGGGTTGAATTTTTGTTGATGCGTAACGAAAATTTCCCGTTTTAGGGAAAAAAAATTGTGGCTATTGTATCGTCCAAAATTTTTAAAAATATTTTACACGAACAATGTACAGTTTAACCCGATTATAACGTCATCTGATGTAACAACCCTAATATAACATCAAATTTTTATCAGTCCCCCAATTTATTATACTAGATAATGTTAAAAAACCCATTTGTAACGACATAAAACCTTTTTAATGTCATATTTGAAGCACTCCCAAATTTAGAAAATTAGATTATAAATTTTATTTAACATAGAAGAAACTACTTGTTCAGTCCTAAGAGCAGAGTTCACTTCTTAGAATGACTGGGTGGTATGCTCCCCCACCTGACTTTGGTGGGGTGAGGTGCCTGTTTGTAGAAGGGAGGGGGGTCACCATTTTGCATTTTATTTTGACTCAATTCTCGGTCCCTTGACTACCTGCAAGTCTGGATTTTTTTTATGCACAAGTGATTTGGGCATCTAATACTCTGTGCCAAATATCAACTCTCGACATGTACTGTACTCCTTCATACCTCTATGCTGGTAACATAAAACAGCAGTACGATTTTATAAACAAGACAGTCTTGTCAATAATATTTCATGTTAGTATCTAAATAACTTTAAATTTGCATATTCTTTACTGTTATAAAAAGGTCTACAAAGCAATTTGTTTAATGAAATTAAGCAACAAATAATTGGAATGAAAAGTCAGGAAACTAAAAATGAAATAGCAAGAACATTTCAGATTACTTTATAATCAGTTCCTTGACTAATAAGATACTATGAAATTTGATAAGTAAAAAATAAAACTACAGACAAACCAGTCAGCTCAAGATGATAGTGTTCTGGAAGTGGCCATTAGGAGTCCATTGAAAAGTGTTTGATAACTAAAAAAAATGATTATGGAATCAAGTTATTTTGATTTACAGCATAGTGAAGTTTTACTGAAAATGAAATTCCAATCTTGTAAAATTCCAATAAAGTGAAGCCACATTTAAATAAATTACACTGGACTGTAGATACCTAAAAACAAAACTTTTTTTCTAGTCAAAACAATTTTGTATTACATTTTGTGACAAGGGACCTCATGTTTCCTGCAGAAAAGAAATAATCAATGATCCAGCTACTTAAAACATTCCAATAAACATGCACAAAGTGTAATGGTGTGAGAATGCTTCACTACAGAAGGAACTGGCAATCTGTTTTTAATAAACAACTGTCAATTCTGACATGTACAAAGAAATTCTGGAATATTTTCTTATCAGAAGATTGTTTTTGGTTTTATAATAAAATAGGACTGAAGAGGGGGTATTAAGCCTGAAATGCATATCCTGTCTATTATAGAAAATAAACCTACTTTTTCCATCAATAAGTGTGTTCCTGTGTGATTTGTTCTCAACAGTAACCTTGTGCTAATTGAGAGAACAGTAAAAATCAAGTATTTTTTGTGATGAATTCATATTTCAACAATACTTGGCCCCAGCTCATACTTCAAATGCTGTGAAAGAGTGGTTCAGCAACAAAATGTTAAGTGTTCTGACTTAACCAGGCATTCCTAACTCAACCCAATTGAAAACATGTAGAACATTACAAAACAAAGGTCACAAACTCAGACCATTAATTAAAAATGAGTTGATGGAAACGGTAAAATCTGTTTGGAATCAGGAAAATCAGGAGTAATTACTCCTGATCAGTCTGAGAAACTAATTGAATTAATGTCTCGTCAAACAAAATCCTAACCTAATTAAGGCCAAAGGATGACCTACACAATATTAAAACTGACATGTGTATATTAATATATACAAGTTGTATATAAAGTAAAATAAAAATATTCTGTTATTTTGAAATTGGTTACTTATAATTTTGAACAGCACAAAGTAAAAAATCATTGTGTAGTTCTTTATAAAATTATCTATATCTTCCAAAAATCAGTTCAATATCACATTATCATGTTTCATTTGTTTGTTTCACATTTGTAACTTTATTAAGTTACAAATGCTTTGATATTAATTTTAAAAAAATTCATTTTAAAATGTATTGAAGTTATGACCAGCTGAGCATTTCCTGTTTTCTATCACAATGGCTTTTTTTTTTATTTACATCTTTCCATAACTTTATTTGTAATGTTATGATAATAATGATTAAGGAATTTGCATGTATCAAAATTTGTGTCAAATGATTGCATTTATTATAGAACTAGTCAGAATGAGAAAGTCAAATGTATGCATCTAAAAACTATTGAGATACAATTTATCTAACTTGTTACAAATATTTTCAACTATTACAACAAATTATTATTGTATGATTTTAAAGTTACTACCATCTTCCTCTGTTCATACATATAAATAAAAGCTTCTCTGATAAATCCCATTATGAATTACTTTTATCTCAAAGTTTAATAAGGAAAACACATAAATTTGCAATAAATTAAGTAGTGTATATCAAAAATTTGTATGTTTATTTAATTTATGTTTTCAAGTTTTATTTAATTTACTAATACAATACACTTTCAATATTTGAAATTGTCAGGATAATCAATATATTAATTTAAAATGTGTCAAACTGATACAATGATAGTTAATCTTAATAGTTCATTTTTACAACTTTCAAATGAAAGTTAATGTGACTGCATTGAAGCATACTATATACTTCATTGTCAGAATAGTTTTAGTTGATGTTTAAAAACAAGATAATTTAATTCTCAAAGTGTTATTGTAATGCATATATTATTCACTTTGTATTGTAAACATATTCAGTTATTTAAAATGGTAGTATTTAATTTATATGAACATCTACTTACTTTGTTTAAATACTCTCTCATAACTTGAATAAGATAAGGCATTGCAAAATCGGTTATATTGTGACGCCACGATAATTCTAAAATAACATCAGGATGTAATAAATCATAACATTGGAAGAGACAAGCAGCAAAACATTCATAATTTTTTTCATCTAAAAACCATGCTAGCAACTCTTCAGCAATTTCAGCTAATTTAGATTCAGCTGCATATTCCATTGCATCCTGTAAAGTAAATTTATTAATGAATTGATATTTAAACAATTAAAACTGAATTACTTTACCTTGAATAATCTATCCTTTTTACATAATTCCACAGATTGTTTCCATCTATTATTTCCTTTATATAAATAAGCTGCAATACGACGAAATTCAATTAATTCATGCTTTTCTAAACTCTGTGCTAGGGCTATATTATCAAAATTATCAAAGGCATCAATGGAAGTTCGCAATCCTTGGAAATCTTCTTCTTCAATAAGAAGTCCATTTAATGCTTCATTAATTGCTTTATTATTGAGACTCTGCACAGACCTCAAATATGGTTTTACTAAAGGTAAGTGATCAACCTTTAAAATAAAAATTTGATTATATACAATGTTTATATAGTTTGATATATACATATATTTATTATATATCAAAATGTTTTCCCATCAATATTTTTTTTTCAGAATTATAATATATCTAAATAGATTTACTATTTTTTCTATATATATATATAAATTACTATTTTTTTCTAATATTAGCTCACTTGTTAAGTTAAAGGATAATTTTGAACAAAAACAGAATATTTAGAAACAATATTGCAAATAAATGAGTCTTTGGTTTACAATGATTAGTATGAATTGATTACTAAACAACTTTAAATGTAATCTTATTCTCTCTGAAATTCTGAAACATTCTATACTGTCCCATCTAGCAGGAGATCTCTAGGATTACTGAGAACAGATCAATATATCTGCTGTAATGTTTCATTATGCTTATTGTCTACACAGTAGGTTTTCCCCATGCAGTGGTGATTCACTTGACAATAAATTTAGAAATGTTTGTGATACATTCATTCCTTTGAGATCAAGATAAAAGAACCACAGTTAAACTAGTACTTTCCTCAGAATGAGCTGGAAAGCAGAATCATAGCAGTAATGTCAAATACCAATTTTTTTTTCGTTATTGTGATACATAATGTGCACAGTAGAGCACTGTGTCCCCCATACTTTTTATATATTCATGCTTTCAAACAATTTTAATGATTTGCACTTATGAAATGAAATTGTCCAAGTACAACTGAAAAATAAAAAGTGGATAAAAGATAATTAACTCTCTCTCATCCAAGCATATCAAGTTGTATGACATCACTTGGCATGTTGTACATAAAGCAACTTAATGCAATTTTCATATTTTTACTGATATATATGCTTGACTGTGATTATATCTTTGATTTCTACATTTTCTCTACTACCTTACAGTATAAAATACTAGTGGGTTTTTAAAAAATGATATTTTTATTTGTGTTTTCTGTGATTTGATCTGTAAATGCAAAAAACTAAACTTATCAAATGTCAACTCACTATAAATAATTTCAACATGTACTTATTGACAGTTTTGTTAAATTTCACAGGATTGTATTATTTTTCAACTTCAGGGTAGTAAAGCTTTATTTATTTCCTCCAGCAAAAGTAATAGACTGAGGTCTCTCACTGTGAACAACAACAAACTTAATTGTTTTATTACTTAGTTTTCAAAAACTCCCTTCTCTGTCAGTTGTGGGTCAAACGACTGACAAATTGTTTTCTTGCATTCAAGGGAATGTTTTCTTTTAGATTTAACAACTAGTATTGCCAGTAATGAGATATATTTTAATTATTAAAAATAAAATTATAGATCAATAAAATTACCAAATAAATGTTTGAATCACAATTACTAAATGGTATTGCTATATAATAAATTTTAATTGTTGCGAAATTGAAAGTATTAAATTTCTTATCATGCTCTGATAGTAAGACATCAGGGCGATAACACCAAAGCAAGAAAATCACATTGTCAAAAAGCTATAATGGCTTATTTGAAATGAATTGGGATTGGTCCTGTCACTGAAACCAGGAGAAAAAGTTTAAATGTGTAGTAATGTGATAAAAATTCTACATTTTTTTTTTATTGAATCTCAATCACTAGAGTACAGTGCTCTCATGCTGCAAGAGAATTTATTGCAGATGGTAGTAAGTACGGTTTTTGTAAAATTTCTCTAAAAATAGGATCAAACTTAAAAACCACTGCTGGAATCACTTCAAAACATATCAGTTGAGGAATACTACAAAAGCCTGCAGTTCAACTGTTATTTATTTTTGAGAAAGTCAATAAAAAAATGCCATGTATCTGCTGGATACATTCGCAACAAGGCAAGAGTTAAATTAAACATTAGAAAAGATGGAAGTTGTCAGAATAGGAAGTGGACAGTTTTATCTTATTGCTTAAAGGCATTTAAAATAAGACTTCCACTCAATGAAAAGTGCTAATAATTATAAATTGCAAAAAGAGAATTATTACAATGAATCAATATATGTGGGTTTTACTCTTTCTGTAATAAAAAAGTTACACAAATTATGCACGTGTATAGTATATACATGTGCCTGCATGCATGCATCTGTAAAATTAGGAAAAGTAAATTTTTGTATACTTGAAATTTCTTAAGCATGTCTTTCATGTGTGCCAATTCTCCAGTAATTTAATCCTTCATAAAAACACAACCTATTGTATACTGTTAAGAATTTCAAAAATCCTATAATTGCAATTCATTTTTACATTTCATAGCATTCTATGAGTTTAATTGTAATGAATTTTATAAAAATGTTATGTTAAAATACAAACTACAAATAATGCTTAAAAAGAAAAATTTAGTTTTAAAAATCTTTTCAAATGATTAAAAATTTACCTTAGTGAAGAAATTAACTGATCTTGTGTGATCCATGCGAGGTGCCAGCACCAGAAGTAAGTCATTCAGTAGCATAGGTTTATAATCTAAATAAAATTGTATTGCCTTATAATATAATTCAATATTTGCAACTTTTGTTATCATTTCTTTAAAGTGTCCTTCTCGCCATGCTTCGGTTGGATGATTGATCATTGTTACTACAGCATTATCAAATTCCTCATATTTGTCATATAAAAATACCAATTCAGCCCATAAATGAGCTTGTTCTGCTGCACGCAATACCTGTAAATCATTTGGTTTATCATTTTAATGAAAGTTGAGTGAAAGTAATTAGAGTGAATTTTAAAAAAATTCAAGAAATTACTTTTGAAAAAGTAAACTTTCAATCTAGAAAATACTAAGTAAAAATAAAAAAAACTGGAAAATTTTTAAATACATTACATAAGTTGTAAAACAATCTAATAGGAAACAGTATTTTAAAATTTTTGAGATTCTCACCTTTGGGATATTCACTCGTGACCAGAAAAGTTCTAAGTGTTCTTTCATTTTAGATGGTTTGTATTTGGAATACAAGATAGCTAATTCTGTAAACATTCCCATGTGTGCTCTTTCAAGACCCAATGCAGCTTCAAGAAGGCTAATTAATTCTTCAAAGTAACCTTTATCTTGATAATAATTAATCAAATCTTCTAATTCATCAGCATGAACAACAATATGAAGACCACACATTTGGGCTAATCTGAATTCTTCATTATCGACACAGGCAAAACAAACCTATAAGTAAGATTTACAAACAATTCATAATTTAAAAACAATGAATTTTAAGAATAAAAATATTAACAAGATAGCTTAAACAATTCAAGAAAATTATAAATTTGGATGTAAAATATGTACTTCTTTAGTATGTAAAGTTTTGATACAAAAGCAATTCTTTAAAATTAAATTTGAGTATATATTTACTAGATCATTAGTTCCAAATTTACATAATGAACAAAAGAAAAATGAAACCTTAATTTCATGAATGTTCAAATAACTCCCTAGATCAGTGATTCTCAACCACTGTGCCGCGAGATTTATGAAGTGTGCTGTCACTGCAAATGTCCCATACATAAGCAACATGAGACAAGTAGTTTAATCGGTTCTACCTTCCTAGGGTGTGTTTGGAAATTGTAACCAGTGTTACCTGAAACTGCCGGTAGTTACTAAGATATTTAGAAAATGTAATCTAAATAACCAACTGCATTTAAAAATCACTCGTGATGTCACCAGTTGTCCTACGGTACTTACCAAAGTAACTGTGTGCCGCCAATTTTTAAATTATTAAAATTGTACCAATATGAAAAAAAGGTTGAGAATCACTGCCCTAGATATCTTCATTTAAATTCATATACTTCACTACAAAACATTTAAAAATTAGTGTTTCAATACATTAAAATTTAAGGCTTTCTTTTATAAACAGTGTGCACTTTCAAATTTCACAATTAGCAAAAGCAATTTAAATACCTTAGTATTAGATATCTATTTTATATTTAACTTAATATTATTATAAATATAATTTAAGTTTTGAATAATGTACAAATTTTTAAAATAAAAAAGTACAAAAATCTTACTTCTTTCCACGTTCGGGTAGAATTTGCTTTTCTTGCACTATCCACAGCTCCCTGAAACTCTTTCAAATGAACCAAAGTAATTGCCAATCTAGCAAAATTGGATACATTATTATAAAGTAATTTTGCAGCCTCATATAATCCATCTTCAAAACAGCGATCACCAATCTGAAGTTAAATGATAATAATTATCTTAATTATAGAATCATTTTAGTTTAAACAAAAATACCTTTTGAATGTCTGCATGATTAGGTCCAGAAATAAATTCTTCCAAGTCAGCCAGTCTATTAGTTTTTGCGTAAGCATAAATAAGTTCAGATTCAACATATGATTCTCTAGCTTTCTTTCGTGCCATTTGTAAATATCGAACCAAGTCCTCCCAGCTTTCTGCAAGTTCAAGATTTTACATTATTAAATCTAACAACAAAGCAAATTTGATGGCAAAATTTTCTTCTTCCAACCTTAAACTAAAAACATTTGATAAAATCTCAAAGTAGTTTACTTTTGCTTTTTAAATAACAAGTTTCCTAAATTATAACTAAATGATAAAACCAGATCAATCATTAGGCTATAAACTGGTTACTTAAATACACAGATATTTAAATTTAACTTTAATCCAAATTGCATAAGATTAACTTAATTGTTTAATAATTAGAATTTTAGAATATTCTGAAAGATGGATCCAGAGTAGGACTTGAACCCACAACTCCTTACCATGCAGATACATTGCCAATTACACTACCTAGATCCCCTATTTGATCTTTGCTTCCAGACCAACTGATTTAGAAGACAACAATAAAAAGTAATTTGCTGTGTAATCTGGAGGACTACATGTCCATGACATCCAAGGCCCTCAGCTATATGTAGAAAATAATGCCGAGATTCATTTTTGTATCATTTATCCAAATTCACAAACAGTTTTGGAAGAAAGGTCACATTGACTACATTGAAATATTCAGTGTTATGTTGCCAGATTTTTTTTGGATAAAACAACAACAGTCAATTCAGTGTTATATTCAAATGATAAATGAAGTCAAAAGTTGCATCAAGAGGAGGAGAAAATGCCAACAAACATTGATTCAGCAAAATACCAGGCTGCACACCTGCAGGGAGACAACTGCTGCTTGACACTGTCACTGATCAGACTGGGTTTTGTTTGATCCTCAACCATAGTCCTGATCTTACTCCAAGAGGCTTCAAACTCTTTCCATAGCTTAAAGACACTTGAAGGGCAAACGTTTTAATGTGACAATGAAGTAAAGTCAGCTGTATGACAATGAATTCAACTGCAAATTCCTGAGTTTTTCAATGACAGACTTTACCAACTGACATAATGGCAGAAATGTATCAAGGTTGAGAAAGAGTATGTTAAAAAATAACTATGCATAGTATTTAGTAAATATTGAAATTTTATTTTTTTATTAATGTTGCCATCTCTTGCAGAACAACATGGGGATGAAACTTCATTCCACTTTCATAATTCATAATATTTTGAATTTTACTTTGTTTCACTTTTATTAAAACAAACTAAGTATTATATGATTATTTAATAAAATTTGAGATGCCATAAGAGTATTGATAAAGGTAATCAAATTTAATTTGAAAATTTTTAATAGCAGCAGCTAGGTAAGCAAGGTCAAGTATCATTAAATTTACATTGTAATTCAGAGTTTAAAAAAAAATGTTGAATATGTAAAAAAAATTTAATATTTTATGAAGTGATATTGATCTTAAATATTTATCTTCAGTCAATCAGTAGCACATTCTGTAATCAATGTAGAAAAATGTGAAAATTGTTTTAAAAAAATTTATATAGCATAATGTTATTCAATTAATACAATATGTAAGTTATCTAAATAATTATTGGTAAGTTATTAATATTGTTTTCCCTCTATAAACTTCAATTTCTTACCAAATTTGAACAACACATGATAATATTTACTCCACTACTCCAATTAATAATTTTAATTTATAAAAAATCGTGTAAGATATGTACAAGCAAATCCATCATTGTGGATTTTGTTAAATGATATGTATTATCAAGATCTTCTAATTTTAAGTGTTTTCCAGATACACACAAGCACACACACATGTATAAAAATCATAGTACTAACCAGTTCTATGTGCTGTCTGAACAACATCTATGTATGAAGAAGGATCACCAGCTTTAATGTATGAATCAATTGCTTCTTTCACCATTCCTTGAACCAATTGAGCTTGGGCTAATAAACTCCAGACTGCAGGTTCATTGCAACGTTCAGCAAATTCATATGCTCGATCAAGATTTTGAATATGTTCAATAAGAACCTATAATTATATAATAAATATTAATATAATCAGCAGCAGCAAAGTAACTTATTTTGCAAAAATCAGCACATTTTTCTTTGTAATGTTTAAATTTTAGAAGTCAAACATCTCATTATTTCTCTACAAGAATTTATTCTTCAATAAGTTCTAGTGAAATGGTCTCAATAAGATCTTAGAAGCTATTCACAATAATTCTTGACACACCTTACTGAATCTCAGTATTTGCTAACTAGTTACAGATTCAGCAGCAAAGACACTAATTTAAACATAATTTAATGAATTAACTTCTTTATGATGTGTGTACGGAACATATTTTATCAATATGCTAATGTCACTTATGGTAATCTTATTGGTAAAAACTTAATTCTAGCATATTTTTTTAAATTCAACATTTTAGCTAATTACATTAATTTCTTGTATTGAAATTGACATACTATTACAAGTAGTAACAGTAAAGTTCAGTCATCATAATAAATTTGTAAGTTTATAAAAATAATTCAAAATAATTTACTAATTCATCAGTAAAAACTTACTAAAATATTACGTATTTTTGTTGATTGTTACAATGTGTATTTGTAGAAGCAATAGTTTAAATTGCCATTAAGACAATTTATAAATTATAAATCTCAATACAGTAGAGTGTTGTTTATCCGAATCAATTGAGGACTGGGGTGGTTCGGAAAACTTATTTTTCGGATAACGAATCATGTACGAAAAAATATATTAATTTATCCCATGTTGAAATTTCTCTCCATTGTGTGTCGCTTCGCGTTGAATTTTCGTCGATGTTAAGCCTAACGAAGACTACTGTATCGTTAAATTATTTTTTTATTTTGTACAAACAAAATAAATTTATTGAAAAATATAAAAAAAATAAATAATTATACTTCAGATGTTAATTTAGTATCAAAAACGTAAAATATTTGAGTAGCCCGAGAAATAGCCGAAGATTGCAGCACCACAGCACTAGCGAAAATTTAAATTTGCCGACTGGAATGCTTTCGGATAACGGACGTTTCGGATAACCAGCTTTCAGATAAACGACGCTCTACTATATTCCTCTTACTTAGTTTATGAAATTCTTTGGTTTAAAATTCTAGGAGACTGACAATATTAAGAAAATTCCCTTTTCAACATATTTGAAACTGGTAACAAGAAAAGCTTCAAAAGGATTTCTTAGAAAAATCACAATTTTCAAACTGATTCAAGTTAAACTTGATTTTCTTGTACATGTAAGTACACATGCCTGTACATTAAGAAAATATTAAGGTAGAATTATTGAATGAAATTTAAAAAATTAGCTAACACATTAGCATAAAATCAAATACTGTCAAATTTAATAATTCATATCAGAAATTGAACATAAAGCATTAATATAAATAATTTTATAATCCATTTCAATATTAAACTAATTTTTACTCGTATAATGTGATTTGATGTATAAGCATTTTCTATTCTCATCTAAATTTTTCTAGAACAACAAATTTATGTTAAATTCAAGTGATGCCATAATTTTTTTTGGCAGTATTCAAGTAAAAATAAAATGTTTAATAATGGAGGAAGTTAGATCATAAGGATCCATCCATTCTAACAAGCCAGCCTAATTACAACTGATCATTAAATCTGTCATCAACTCTATTCAAATTTGAGAGTTCTTTGGGAGCAAAATTAATTAAGACTGATCAAAAAAATCAATCTTAATTTTGCTTTATTTGAAAACTCAATCAATATATATTGAATTCCTGAAAAATATCCATCCAATCTCTCAAAAGAAACTGGAAATTTCTTACTTATACTTTTGAAGTAATTTAGACTAAAGTGAGGTAAATTGTTATTGTTTTCTTATTTGTGGAAGTGTCTGTAAAAAGAGACAAAGTTAAAAATTTATTGTATCTTTTAGATAGAATAAATATGAACAATTTAATATATTAATGGGCTAATTTGAATCAATATTTGTAATATTGTTTAATCCTGAATACTTAAATATTGCATCCAAAACATTAAGAATTCTTATTGTTTTATTAATACAAAAAATAAAAGATCTTAAATGAAGCAATATTTAATATAAATAGTTTTTTGTAATAAAGAATATTGGTATTTTTAGTTAAAGAAGCAATTTAGTTTCTATTTTGCTATCAATCTTCTATTTACTATAGAAAGACATTAAAAGTTCTGATTGTCAAAAACATGATTTTTACCTTGAAGTCCCTTTTTATATAATTTATATTTGTGCTCAAACAGAATTAAGTCAGCAAGAGTAAGTTTTAACTGGAGAAAATAAAGAATACTTTATATTTAATATTTTATCCTATGCAAATTAGTTATTTCAATGTTCTCCATGATCAGTCTTTTGTACTTTCTCCATAACAAGAGCCCATTAATACAGTAAGACCCCACTTAACTCTGTCTTGATATAAAGAAGTCTACTCAAAGAGCCTAAAAATAATAAAACACCTCAAAATTTATGCTTATTCAAATTATTGCAGCATTTCATTGATTCATGTATAATATATTTATTCCCAAACATAAACCAATCAGCAAAAGGTTCACTTGGCAAGAATTAACTGAAATGCATGAATGAAGTGTGGAAGATGTTATGGCTGGAGGTATCCAAGAATTGTCAACAAGAGCCTATTGTTGACAAAATTGTCAACCTAATCAATACAACATGTAGACAAGCAGGATATTGAGGAGTTACTGCAGGTTTCTGGTGAGAGCCTTATCAATGACAACCTTCAAGAATTAGCAGAACAAGGAATTCATGTAAAACTGGAAGAGATTCTGAAAATGAAGAACCCATGGAAAAAGAAGCAACAAATGAAACTATACAACTATTGCAAAAAACAAGAATTTCAGAAGCTTTATCACAAAAAAAATGAACTTTACATCTCTGTGTACATGTGTGTGTTATTTAACATTTTTAAATTAATTTGCATAATAATATAACTTAAAATTAAAGTAAAAATCTGCTTATTTTTTGCTGCGTTTTTCCCTTTCCCTATTTACTCTATTAAAATGACCTCGTTTAATGCTGTTTCATTTAGCGCTTTGTTGTCTAGGAATGTATCCCCTGCATTAAGTGGGGTCTTACTGTATTTTCATTGCTTGCACACCCCTTGGGACTACTGCTTTTAAATTTCCCTTTAAAACATAATAAAATGGACATTAGTATTATGGAAACAGCCATTTATGATTATAAAAAGGATTAAAAAATTTGAAATAAGAATGAAGCAAAAATACTTTTGATAAACTAATAAATTAAAAATTTATCCACTTTATTCTTTGTGACTTTACATGTGACATTTAATGTGGAAATGGATTACTAACTGATATTTCACAGTTTAACTATTACTGAACAATTTCATTTAATTCTAAATTAATAACATATTAATGATTTAGTTATTAGTTTTCAGGACTAGCTGCATCATCTAGTTCAATAATCTTCCAGATCATTTGAAATAGTTTTGTGTATTTTTTCATATGCTATATCCTTTTTGTAAGTTAATATGACTAATTCTAAATCCATATATTTAATCATGTACAAAATTAGCATGCATTCCTAGTGTGCTTAAAGGAAGTTTCATAAATAAGACAAACATAATATGTACATGCAAATACTTTAAATTTCAAGTTCATACCTGTATGGCTGATGTGTTAACATCAAATTTCTTAAAGATTGCAAAAGCTTCTTCGAATAATTCACTGCCAATTGCTATGTTAGCAATGTCTGGAGCATCATAGTTATCAAGTCGATTGATGTATTCCATAACTCTGGTCCGATCAGCTTTAATAGCAGTTAGAATAAGTAGATTTTGAAGATTTCTGAGAAAAATGTTTAAATATTTACAAATTTAACATTATTAAATAAATCAATAAATGTTAAGATAATTTATTGAAGTAATAAGCCAAAATAACATTGTTCTAAATCTTAATAATTAGTTAATTTAGATAGTTAATATTAATAATAATTTAGATAGTTATTTAGTTAATAGTAGATTCATAAAGTGCATAAGCAAATATAATTTAGCATACTTTCCTGAATTTAAATTTTTGGTAAGATGTTATTAAGTTTAAGTTAAGTTAAGATGAATTTAAATTTTTGTGATAAATTTAAGTTTTAATTATTGGGTCCTATATTATTCATTTGTATTCACTAGTCATTCTAATGAACAGTGTTGTCTAGCTTTCAGCTTGAAAAAAAAAAACTCTAATAGTAAGCATTCTATAATGCAGTATCTTATTTCTATTCTTTAGGAATTGGATGCAACTATTAAATCTAGTAATTTCATTTTATTATTATTTGAACAACAACAATGCTATTTCAACATAAGATAAAACTGAAAATGGTAAATAGAATGTAGAAGTTTATAATGAACCTTATATTCCTCCAGTAGATAGCATGCTTACTATTAGAGCACTTTTACATCTTGCAGATGCACTACTAAAATAAATAAGAATTTTTGATATATTAGATACCATATCTTCAAATAATCTACATGAACTCAATCTTAACATTTCAAATTGTAGAATTAAAACTGTACATGCACATTACTGCTATATAATAATATAATATAGAAAGTTTTTAAAGATGTATAGTTTGTCAAATGTCAAAAACTGTTTTCAATTTTAAAGACAAATGAAACAAACATTCATTGTCATTATTTTCTATTTCTCTTTGAATTTAACAGAGGATCACAAAAGATTTTTATGTGATAACTAAATGTTTCTCACTTTTAAGAAGCTACGGTAATAATGGTTTAGTCTAAAAAAATACAAGCACTCCTCTACTTACAATCAGGTTAGGTTCCCAAGGTGCTGTCGTAAATCTAAATGTTTAAGTCAAAAACTAATCTAGAAAGTACATTTCTACACAGAATGTTGTGTTAGTGTTTGATCCTTCAAATGTACTTAGAACACATTAAGTTCATTTATCCACTTACTACTGCTTGGTAGAGGGTGTTTCAAACACAGATTTTGTTTCACCTAATGTGCTTACTTTTATAAGGATAGGTTTAGTTTCCATGGTAATAGAACAATGCATTTATCTCCACTACTAGATTATTATTATGTTTTAAATGAATTTCTGAAGCATTAAATCAAAATTTTATAAAAATTGCAAACAGCAAAAAATGCTATTACTCCAACTTCACAACCTCACAAGTGGCAATGGAAGTCATAATTCGCATGAAAACAAAAAATGGCTGCATGAGAGAAATAAATCCACATTATTACTGGTTAAAAGACTGAGTTTAATACCACTCCACAACCAGCAAGAATAGGCAAAATTTAAGTGTTAGACATATGGTCAAACTCTTCACAAGTCTGAAATTTCATAAGTAGGGCACTCCTACATGAATGTGTTTATATTTATAAATATTAGTCTTATTTTAATGTAAAGCTAATTCACATTAGCAAAAGTTTATATATGGTAATTTCATATTTAAAACTATTTCTTACCTGTGGTCACTGAAAACAGAATTTTCTAAAACAATCTTTTCTAATAGTTCTATCAATTCATTTGGCAAATCTGCAGTCATAAATGCTTTCACAGTTACAGAAATATCTTCTGGATCTTGAGTTTCAGAGAGTGCTGTTTGGACAACCTGATCAATTAACTGGCGACGATAAGGATTGTTTTCATTTAGCACTTCTGCCCACATTTCTGGATCTCTCCTCCTTACTAAATAACGAGCTTCACTTTTAAAGAGAGAATTCTCATTGCATACTTTAATCAGTTCTCTATCACACTGGCCTCGCTCATATGCAATACATGCAAGATGGGGATCCCTTTTCTCACAATACTTTCCAACAACTCTGCTGTCATAGAACTGATTCTCCCTTTAAAATTATACAAGAAAATTTTTAAAAATGTCACACAAATTTTAACAATATTCATAAAGTGCATAAGCAAATATAATTTAACATACTTTCCTGAATTTAAATTTTTGGTAAGATGTTAGTGATAAATTTAAGTTTTAATTATTGGGTCCTATATTATTCATTTGTATTCATTGTCAGATGAAAATAGCCACTAGAACAGCCAAAAAACAAACTGATTTCCCAAATTTAGCAGTTTCGTACTTGAATATTCTTAAAAAATTTACTTCAAAATAATTGGAATAGGCTACTAGTAAGATTATACAGGATAAAAATCTTAAATTTACATAAGTGCCATGTATAGTAATCAATATTCAAAAGTGTCAACCATGAAATTAGATCTTTGTAAACTGGAATGCTACACATCAGTTAATTTTAATTTCATTCATTTTCATTACATTACATGTAATGTTTATTTCATTTTTAACTGAATCTAAAATTTGATACTAAATTTTAACATTGTCAGTTTTAGAATTCTGTTGAACTAAATTTTAATGTTAATTATATCTAATATATATTTATTTAAAAATTAAACATGGAATGACAATTAAATTCTAGTAATTTTAAAAAATTTACTTTAAAATTGCAGGTTACCAAAATAAATTAACAGATGAATGTTATAAAGCCACGTCAACTGCTGTATAATATGGTGCTATGTATCAGCAATAATTATGAATTACTGATTAATTTGACCCTAGAGGAAGGTGTTAGGCACCATCTCTTATTAAATTTAATTATAATTATTAAATTTAGATTAAACTTCAAGAAAAGAATCTGCCAGAGCAAGACTCAAATCCGCAACTCCCACCTGCCATACAGATGGCATCACCAATTAATTTCTTCCAGTTTAATCTAATAATAATTAAATAATTTTAAATTTAATACAAGATGGTACATAATGCCTCCCTCTAGGGTCAAATTAATCAGTAATTTATAATTATTATTGCAGTTATATAGCCCAATGTTATACAGTAATTGACGTGGCTTTATCGTAATGTAATGTATCGGGTTTCGTAAGATGTTTATGTTTTATTACAAATGTTATCTCAAAACATTAAAAACATTTTTCATATTGAAAATAAAACAAACTTTTTCACGAACTACACTTATATACATTAAATTTAATCAACAGGATAAATTATTCAAAAATTAAATATGCTATTTAAAATATTAAAGTTCTGTTTTGAAATAAATGTAAGTAACTCACTTTAGAAAACGTTCTGGATTATTATTTGAGTCAATGTAAATCTTTGCTAGGGCATTATGAGTAGCCGCCTCATTACAACCTTCATGAACTCTCATTTCAAGCCAAGATAACAGAAGTTTCAACCTATTTCTTTTCTCAACTTCTTCTACAAGTTCATCTGTTGAAAATTGTCCTCTCACTACCATAATAAGGGACTTAATTACATCTTCTGAACAATCAACATCAAGTAATCCACCAACAACAACTGGTAAACGTGATGGGTTGACCTAATGAAAGTAGTAAATAAAGTTTTAATAGAATTTTTTTAATAATAAAATTACATGACTACTAGTTAAAATATAATTGTTTTTTTTTGTTTTCAACTTAAAATATAAAATAGATTAATAATTAGATAATCATTGTATCAGAACAGTTTCATGTTACAGAATTAAATTTGTGAAAAATAGTTATAAAATGCTTTAAAAATGATTAATTCACAATTAGATATTT